TTATGACTATTCATTCTGGGGCTGCTTTTCTGATGGATTTAACAGGTTTTTGCTACTCAGAGATACAGCAAAACACGATTTTTTGTGATTGTATAAAACTAATCATAGACACAAATGCACAATTTTATTCTTCAATTTATTTATATTTTCTGCCATTTTATGGGGGTTTGATGTCCAACAGCCACAACTTGTAGAGCACAAAAGTCATTACAAGACATTCTTCTGCCACAAAGTCTTGTAGCCATTTTATTAACTACTTCCTTAGGCCAATAGGACTGTGGTATTTCTTTAAAAAGTTATAGTCTGAGTGTTTTTCAGTTGTGCAGTGGAAATCTGAATTAGAGACAAGATTAAAGGATCCCTTGCAAAATAATTTTGACACCTCAGTGAAAAGGAGGAGCATCCTCACAAAGGCTTTGGGCCAATGTTCTAAACTAACAGATTCCATCATTGGCGACAAGAGTAGGTACGTGTCCAGTACAGAAAAACCACACCCTGGCCATAGCTTTTGAATTCCTCAGCATTCGGTACACCCAGAGGTCATTAGGCTAGTTTGGCCTGTGTCCCTCCTGCTGTGAAGAGAAAATGCTGTGGGTGCTGTCTGCTTCACCCGTATGCAGTCATAATGTTGGCTCTGCCTTAAGAGCCTTCACAGCTGTGCTGTAACGCTATTAGTTCCCAACATGACTCAGATGAAGGATTTTCTTTAATCTGCACAGAACCTTTGCAAAAGAGAATTTTCATTTGTGAAAACCACCAAAGCTGAAAACAGGGTGCCTGTGAACAAGAGGCTGTGTCTCAAAGGCTGATTTCCCATTGTCTTAGGAAATAATTTCAGTGAAAATTGAAAGATGGGAGAGTGAAACAATTTCATTGATTTGGCCACCTTAAGTAAGTCCTGTAATTGTCTGTTAAGAAATCAGTCATGATTTGCATTACTTGTAGCACAGGAATGGTTGAAGAAGTGCATGGGGTTTTTTTTTGTTTGTTTACTGGTTCTAGATGCAGCTTTTCTTGTAGGTCGAATGTTTTTAAAAAGTGGGCTTTAAGAGAAAACAACATCATAGATGCATCTTAGCAGCATTTGTTGGTTCACTAAGTACTGTTTGGGCAAAAAAAGGTTTCTTTACACTTACTTACATGCAGCCTTTTTTTTTTTTCTCTACACCAGCACCACCACCACCACCACCACCCCCCCCTTTGCCTTGGTCACTATTTGCAGTGTTTTATTTCTTAGAAACTATACATTCCTTTTTTAATTCTAAGATTCTTTACTAGCATTAGAATCCACACAGAACAGAAAATAAATATCTTATTCCTGACATAAGGGTAATTAAAACAACAAAACCTGAAGATTCTCAGTTCAGATTAAACTCAGTTGGAAACAAGAGAGAGCTGCCAGCCTGTTCTACAGGTCAGAAATTCGGGAACTTTTAAAGTAACACTTAGATCATTTGCTTAAGGACTGACCTTTTGGGGAGGTGGACCTAAGGTCACTTGATAAATATGTAAGAGTGTGTCTCTCATTTGTCTTTCTGAGGCAGAATGCCACTAACCACAAGACTCAAACATGCACAAGGAATCCCAAATTGCAGGAGCAGCATGAATACTCCAGCCACCTGATTTAGAGGTTGGTCAATGGTTTTGGTCTATGCATCTTTCGTGGTATCTGCAGCAAATCAGAAATACATTCAATAACTTCTATAAGTAATTATTCTGGGTCCCCCCATGCAAAAATGCTCCAATTCTCATGTGAGTTCCTTTTTCCAGTTTAGTCCAGACATTACATCCCTGCGAAGGTGCATGTTAACCAAGAGCTACTTACTAAATACTCCAAAACTGCCTGCAAGACTCAAGAATCAGGACAGCTGGGTTTCTAGGGGCCTGTTTCTGTGCAGAGGATGTGAAGAGGAAGCCTTTGATCATAAAGTGTCCACGGATGTTCAAGGAAAGTTGTTGTGCCACAGTCTGCTCAGGCAAGGTAATTAAAACAAAACAAAATGGTGAATTGCCAGTCAAAAGGAATTGAGTTGTGGCTGTAAATGGCAATTGCCTCTACAACCACAGTTATGTGAAGGTAGCACTAATGAGAAATTCTAGCGTAGCTGAGCATTGCCATTCGTTATTTGTTGAACGACGGCAACTATACTGCAGAACCCAAGGAAGATAAGGTCCATAGGTTATTTCAGTTTTTATGGGATGTAATCATTAAGTGATATCAGTTATGTTTCTGTACAGAAACCTCAAGATTTGTTTCTGTACAAATTCAAGCAGACAGATTGATACTCCAAAGCCTATGGGAAATAATAGGTGTCATGGATAAATCTGGGTTCATAATCTAGTTAGAGACTAGTTTAGTATCCAAGGTGAACAATCCAGAACTATTCTTAGAATTTAAATTTTATTTGAACAATCAAGTGTTATTCTGTAAAAATTGAAGGGAAGCATTAGAGAAAATAAAGGAGTCACCAAGGAAGTTCTCTTTTTTTGAAAGGATAAACAAGAAATACAGAGAAATGTTTATTTTGATCAAATGGGCTGAAAAAAAATTTGTAGAATTTAATATGAAAGTGGCTTTAAGTCAAAGACCGTGAACAAATTTCTCTTATTTTGGACTTGGCCATTTAAATGTGAACACTTACCATGTAACTTTCATTAAGTTTCATGTAAATTAAACAATTACTGTGATGAACATGTAGGCATTAGTATAGAAAACAGTGTGGGAGTAAAAAACTGATTTGTATGCAACTTTGATAAATAGTTAATTTAGTTTAATTCTCATTCTATAGCTGAGAATGGTTTGGATCCAGTGTTTGGTCTGTTTGTATGTTTCTATTTAAAAGAGCCAAACAAATCAATCCAGGTATTATTAGGTATTGTGGTTCTAATTTATGTGCTGAGCATAGCTCCAAAAGAGAAGAAAACCTTATAGGTCCATGCCTAAAAATTTGAAGCATTTTGTCTTACATTCTAGGATAGCTCAACAGGAGGTGGTTATCTGTTTGTTGATTGCAGCTACTTGAAGTTTATAAACCAAATAACATAACCTGTGAAGTCATATGATACTGGATATGAGAACCCAAAGCCACCCCAGCACAGACAACATGGAAAACTGGGGGGTATTTAATTCATGCAAAAAAATGGTGTGTAGTTACTTTGTAATGTATCAAGGCATTCGTACCTTATGAGTGTAAAGGACACAGAAGAGACCCTCAAGGTACGTTGAAAGTGGCATCAGATTATTTAAGATCTCTTCATTCTTGCTTGAACCTCTTCCACCTCAGGTGACCCCAGCAGAAGAGGACCTTCCAGTTTAAGTGCAAATGTATTTCAGATAAATTGGTTTTGAAATGAGACCCAATACCTAGCAGATTAAAAGGTAACCTCAAGCTGCTTTTATTTTGTTATGCATACAGAGAGATGGGTTCCTTTTTTGGGATGACAGCTCATGACATTAATGAATTATTGATAGGAGGGATGGTTCCCTGGGTCACTGTAATCTCAGCAACACTTAAGAACAAATGAATGAGCATTCCTG